ATTCATCTTATTTATAAAATTCTTGATGGAGAACGACCAAAAATTACTGATGATACACCAAAATGTTATGCTAATTTAATGAAAAGTTGTTGGGATCCTGATCCAAAAAAAAGGCCTTCTATGAAAGAAATTTATTTGACAGTTAATGATTGGTGTTTTAATAGTAAAAATGATGCAGAATTCAAACAAGCTGAAGCAAAAAGAGAAAAACTGGTAGAATCAAAGAAAATTGGTCCTGAATTTGCTGAAAAATGCCACCCGGAAGCTATTTATACAAGTAGACCATTAAGCGATTTAATTTCTAAATGTTCATCCATCAATTCATTCTCAACAATTTCATTTGGTAATAAACAAGGTATTACAAGAAAATAATTAATTAAATTAATTGTAACTAAAAATATTATATAAAGTAATCTTTAAAAATGAATTTTATTTAGATTACAATTATATTTCGAAAGAAGAAGAGCTTGATATAGACATTGAAAGGTATTTACAATTATATTTTTTAAATGATACTCTGTGTACTAATTAAATTAATATTAATTTGTAATTTAGTTTATCATCGCAAAATTTAACAATTCAAACTTTTTCAACCTCATTAAAAAAGCGAAGCAATGAAGAATTAAACCTTGAAACATATGATAATCGTGGTAAATATACTTGTTGTTTATTTTTTCTTTTTGTTTATATTAATATTTATTTTTTTTTTTTCAAACTTAAAATATTTTAAAGTAGAAAAACGTATTAAAACTGGTTAATATTCGTTGTAATTATATGTACTATTAGGCTTATTAAAGTATATTATATTGATTTTTACGTATTTATAATAAATATCATTTATTTTATTTTAAGAAATATTCGTGTTTTAAATGGATTACAGAATCAAAATTATTTGATTAAACAAATATTTCATAAACTTAAATTAAATTCTTATCGAAACTTGTAAAATATAGTGAGTACCATAACGAATATATACAGTATATATTCTAGAATGGGAAGGATTGCATACGTAATACTTACCACTTGATGACACTGATTCCATTACATGATATTGTCTACATTGAAATTTTATTTTCTTTTCGGCTCAGACCTTAATTTTTATATTCTTTCAAGTTTCTTTTAATATTAAACTAGTTTGCTTCGCACCAGGAGCTGAATTATATGATCGTCATATAAATTTCGCTTTTTTGAATTTGTTTAACGTCACTACGTAATAGGTAATCTAAACGTTACAATTATATAGATGATGATGCAGATGATTTTAACGTTATTATTAAGTTGCGAAATAACAATACAAGAAAATTTCAACCCATTTTGTAATTTTACGTGATCGCTCTTCATACTTTAATCATCCGAATGAAACAAGTACACAGTGAAATTCGATATACCGGAACCTTGATATAACGGAACATAAGTAAAGTCTTGATAAATTGGAATTGAGGTCATAATCTATAATTAATTTATCCTCGATATAACGGATTTCTCAATATAACGAATTTTTGACAAATTTGATGGTTCCATTATATTGGACTTTACTGTGTTTAAATATTTGACCAAGTGGTCTGAGGTTTGTGCTCTACTAGATGCTAAAGTTACGTCTGTTATATCTTTCTTCTACGATGTTATTATTTGATGTCCGAAAGAGCTATTAATAGATTAATTTACTTAGCCTCATATTACGTGACAATCGTGACATGATTTAAGGATCAACATTTTACCGACATCGTGATAAAAATTTTCTTTGAACTTTTACTTCATTAAAAAAAAGCCTAATTATTATGAAAAATTACTTGAAACTGAAGAAGATTATGATGATATTGTTTATGCAGGTAAAGATAAAAATAAATTTTTCATCGATTTATTAGACGAAAATATTGTGATCTTTTACGTAATACAAATGAATTTCTTTATTTCTAAGAAATCTAATATTTTCCCTCAATTATTTAAAATGGTTATAACATCTTTTAAAAACTCTAATAAAATTTTTTTGATTTATTTACTGCGGAGCGAATGATTTGAAGGAATTACAAGGAACTGAATCAACTGATATTTTAATGCAGTAGATAAGTTCAATATTCAATCCTTAATTAACTGCATTCTGAATATCTGATGAAAGGTGGATATGTTAGTTATGTATAATGAAATTCTATTGAAAATCTTGAAGAGGTTTATCAAATAATGCTTTTACAGATTTACAGAATGTTTGCATCAAGAAAATTTCCGAAAGATTATTTATTTCAAATAAATTTACCAATTTAAAAGCACCTTTATTGGAGTTATGGGACGATTTACCGCTAGACGAAAAAAAAAAAATTAATGATGTCTTGCTCAAAACATTCTAATATTTTACAAGATCCTATACAAAGTATTTTTGTGAATAATGTATTAACTATTTTTATTTTTTATTTTAGGATATTCGTTTTCCATCTTTGGGTTATTTTGATCTTAATTTTGCTCATTTTCCTTTTTTATTTTTCCATTATTTTCGCTCATTATTCTTTACTTTATATCTAAATTCTTCCTTTTTTATCATCTATGCTCCTACATTTATTTTCGCCTCTTTTATTTTATCATCATCTTGATTTTTGATTAATTTACTCTTTCACCTTACCTCCTTTATATTCAACCATTCTCCTTTTATTTTCGTCACACTTCTAAATTTCTTCCTTCTAGACAGGTTACACTAAATGTCCTTTTGAGCGGAATTTATGTAGGCGCTCCTTTTTTTTATTCTTTTCTCTAGCCAAACTTTTTTCTATAATTTTTTAGGAACAGTTATAATGACTAAATAGACGAATCTAAGATGCATTTCTTTTTCTTTTGTTGTGAAATTTTTTTTTTTTTTTTTGACATGGTTGCGAAGAGGACTTTTTGGGTGAATCGAAGATAGGATTTGAACGCTCGTTTTTTGCCTTCTAATAGGGAATGTATTCGGCGTATTTTCTGGGTTATTTATTTATTTGTCGTTTCTTTTAGGTTTAACGATAAATAATAGAACAGAACGAAAATTCAACAAATTTACGTGTAAAATATTCACGACATATATTTATATAATATTAAGTATTATTTTATTTCTGAATTAAACCACAAAATTTAAATTATTTTTAATCAATTTTTAGTAAACATATTACAAAATTAAGAACTTTATATTTTATTAAAAGAAAATTGCTACAGCTCACCAGCGGTGATTGTCACCATACCAGCATTAAGATGCACTTTTGGCCTGAATTAAAATTTAATAAAACACTGACCGGCATTACATCATAAATCCACCACTGGTGACCGTCACCACTGGTGATATTTAGCAATACCCTTATTAAAAACTATTATATGAAAATTTTTCTACAAATTAATGACAAGAAAAAATATGTAAAAGTCTTATTCGGATCATGAAGACTTTCATTCTTTTGTCTCTCATAAGAGTTTAAAATGTTTTTTATTTTGATTAATATTACTACAAAGATTAATGAACTTATAATTTACAAATTCATAAGTCATAACAACAAATGTTATTTTCTACATCTTTTTCCTTTAGAATTTGAATAAGAACATGGATATGATATATATCGGATCGTACATCATGAATATTTAATCATGATATGTAATATCAACTGATTACGCGGTAGCCCCCATTTATCCACCGAAATTGTCACACCTACCGACACAGTTATTTCGCCGAAAATGCCAAGTAAATAACTTTTCAATAAAATGATTCAATGACTTTTTTATATTCTTTATTAATTTTTATTACTCATATTTCATAATATAATAATCATTAAATACAAATTTTACTGGAATAGGTAGGAGAGAATGCGTCAAACTAGTTATGTAAATCTTTTTTTTTTTTTGACAATTTTTGGTAATGTTGGCCAGAATTTTAAGTAGCTGACTGACACTATCATAATTCCCGGCCCTGAAGACCCTGAAAAAATGCGTACAGCCAATAGTAATTTTATTCGACCTTACCTAATTTAATATTTTTCGGGTCCTATATAAACATTAAACGCTTAATATATTTCAATGTATGACGAGGATCCATTTAGACAAATATATATATATATAAAATTAAGATGAAATAAAGATACGAATAACGCTTTATACTATTGATCCTTAAACAATAAACTCACATATATTATTGCATTCACTTTAAATGATTGTGGCTATGTTATTTTCATAATAAATAGTATTAAATATTAAAAAAAAAAATATTATTTAATAATTGTAACTAATTATGTTATTGATTATTAGATCTTTTCTTCAATTACAGTAAAATTTAAAATTCGATGAAATAAAATGATTTTGATGAAATAGCGCTATCAGTAAAACAATCCTATCGATGAAATGATCGTTGAACTCACTGTAATAATTGTCGGTGAAATAAAATGAACCCAATAAAGATGGTTTTTTTTTTTTGAAAATAATCACAACAGCCCTATTAGGTACCACTGAGACGTGGCAGAACCTTTCGCATAAATAGCTCAGGCTTAGTAACAAGACGATCCAATCAAAATTTAAATGGCTTTAGAGAATATCACTTGATCCAAAACTTGTTGGCGCAGTACTTCAAGGAAAACCTCTTCTCTAGATTATTATAGGTCAATACGGGATCTTTTCGAAGCTAACCCTATGTTCAATTTTGGTTTTAATATCTTCTTATTTTCTTTAAAATGACTAAAGTAATATATTTAAACGGTCTTCTAGGATTATCGGTATTTTTGGGATTATTTTCTTTCATAATAAATTTCTAATGAAAAAAGGGATAACCCGGTGTTGTACAAGAAACACATGACTGGATTCTCAATAATTCCGATTTTAATTGCTATAATAAGTAATAAAATAATATCAATGACTAACATTGAGTAATATAATTTATAAATAAATAAATGACGTGTCATTTTAATTAGTATGTGTTGAAACATAATCAGTGTCCATTTATGGTAGTCATGTGATTCGTGGCGGATATAAATAAATAATGAGAATTTACAATAGGGGGGAAAAAAATGTCTATCGAATATTGTCAAGAAGTTGCAAACGATTATGAAAAAGTTCTTGAATCTGACGAAGAATATGATGTTATTATATATGCTGGTGAATATGAAAATGTAAAAGAAATATTTGCACATTTATTTGTTTTGCGTACGAGAACTGAATATTTTCGTAGAGAGTTTTCTAAGAAACGGACCGAAATAAAGGATGGAAAATATATTTTTAGGAAACCAAATATATCTCCTCAAATATTTAAAATCATTCTAAGGTAAATGAAAGAAAATCAATTAAAAATAATATTATATGTTAGCTAACGCAATAATTATTAATTACTTAATAGATTTATTTATTGCGGAAAAATGGATTTGACAAAATTACGAGGTTCCGAAATATTAGAACTTTTGATGGCAGTAGATGAACTTAAAATCCAAACTTTAATCCAATATATTCAAAAATATTTGATCAAACATCAATACGAATTTTTACAACAACTTTTTTCTACAGAAACTCTTGAAATGTGTTATCAACATGAATCTTTTAAAGATTTATTGAATTTTTATCTTGAAATAATTTCCAAAGAACCTGAAATATTATTTAATTCTAATAAATTTATTAATTTAAAAGCACCCTTATTAGAATTGCTTTTAAAGGAGCACTTTCTGTTATTGGATGAAATTGTTATATGGGATAGATTGATTAAGTGGAGTTTCGCCAAACATCCATCTATTCAACAAGATGTCAAGAAATGGAATAAAGAAGAAATTACAACGATGGAAAGAACTTTTCATAATTTTATTCCTCTAATTAAATTTTATAATATTCCCCCAGATGATTTTGTTTCTAAAGTATGTCCTTACAAAGTACTATTACCCGAAGATTTGACTAATGACATATTAAATATCGATAAAAAAATTTCTAAATACCAAAAATACGATACGGTTATCGTTAAACCTCGACATTTTGCTATTTTTTCTAGTTGGATTGAAAGGAAAAATGATAATTATTACACTGTAAGAGATATTCCTTATCATTTTAATTTGATTTATCGTGCTAGTAGGGATGGTAACACAGCCGAAGCATTTCATAATAAATGTGATAACAAAGGTCCCACTATAGTTATAGCAAAAGTTGCAGACTCAGAACAATTAGTAGGAGGGTATAATCCACTTGAATGGGATTTAAGTGATAATTATAAGTCTACAAAAAATAGTTTTATATTCTCATTTACGAATAAAGCAAAAGTCGGTCATATTAATCATTTTGAACATTCTGTCTATTGTCATCGAAAATATGGACCAACATTTGGTCACGGGCATGATTTATCTCACGCTGATTGTACTACTTGGAGAAGTTATGTATCATCTTATCCTGAAGTTGATATCCCAATTCCCAATGCGAACGATATGTTATATAATGAATTTAATGTAGAAGATTATGAAGTATTTCAAGTCATTAAAAAAAAATAAATAATTTATCTTAGAATAGTTCTATAACTGCAAGATATTTTAATTAATATGGCAAAATTAATTTTCAGGAATTTTTTTTATAATCATATAGAATTTCTTATTATTTTAATTATGATGCTGTATAATTTTCATGATCTCATGTAGATTTTCTAAATATTCAATAAAGCGGTTGTATTAAAAATATATATATATGTATTTTCAATTAATTATATATATTTTAATTAATTTTGCATTAAAAATCTTATGATCTGATCTTTCGTTTCATATGGAAATCAAGATTATCCATAAAATTTTGGTCAAAGTTAACATGAAATTAGTTTGATCTCCGTCGATCGGATTATCCGTGTTCTTCATTAGGAATTTACATATGTTATGTATAAAATATAATTTCTTTTATTTATATTGATCTGAAGATTTTTTATTGCGAAATTGAGAAATTTAATGTTCTGATCTTTCATTATTCATATGGAAATTAGATTGTCTATAAAATTTTGGTCAAAAATTAACATAAAATTAATTAGATCCCCACACGATCGGATTTCTATTTTTCGTTAATATTACCTTAATTTTCAGTATGAAATTCACTTGTCGATCAATTGGATTTTCCAGCCAAAATTAACGTGAAATTAATTTGATCACCGTTTATAGAATTTCATTTACTGTACGTAATGAATTATGTGTAACCACATGGCTGATTTTTTGTACTCATTTAAACTCAAAAAAAAACTTTACCTTCATTTTTGAGAAAAATGTCTTTTGATTATTCTCAAGAACTTATTAATGATTATGAAAAATTACTTGAGGCTAATAAAGGATATGATGTCATTATTTACGCAGGTGAAGATGAGAACGCAAAAGAAATTCATGCAAATTCACTTATATTATGTATTAGGTCTCAATATTTTCAAGCGGCGTTCTCTAATGAATGGGCCGAAAAAAGAGATGGAAAATTTATTCTTGAAAAACCAAATATTTCTCCTCAAATATTTAAAATTATTTTAAGGTAATGAATAAATAAATTTTATAATATTATATTTTAATACTAATTAGTCATATTATTTATTTATTTATTATTATTTTTTTTTTAAAAAAAAATTTTTAAAAAAAAAATTATTTTTAGATTTATTTATTGTGGAAAAATTGATTTAACAAGATTAAAAGGAACAGAATTATTAGATCTTTTAATTGCAGTAGATGAACTTAGTATCCAAACATTAATCACTTGTATTCAAGAATATTTGATTAATAATCAATATAAGTTTTTACAAAAGAATCTTATTGAGATTCTTGAAGCTATTTATCAATTTCATCAATGTGATACTTTTTCAGATTTATGGGAATCTTTTCTTGAAGCAATTTGTGATAAACCGGAAATATTATTCAACACTGATAAATTAATTAATTTAAGAGCACCCATCTTGGAATTACTTTTAAAACGGGATGATTTATTATTGGATGAAATTATTATTTGGGATAATTTGATCAGGTGGAGTTTTGCTCAACATCCTTCTATTAAAGAAGATATAAAACAATGGAATACGGAAGAAATTGCTATTATGGAAAGTACTCTTCATAGATTTCTTCCTTTAATTAGATTTTATCATATATCTTCAGAAGATTTTCATTCAAAAGTATATCCTTTTAAAGTATTGCTACCCAAGGATTTAATTAACGAAATGCTTGTATTTTATTTGGTACCAAGTAAGAAACTGAATATTGATATTCAACTCCCTAGGTATCCAAAATATGATACAGAATTAATTAAATTTCAACATTTTGCGATTTTTTCTAGTTGGATTGAAAGGGAAAGTGATTCATATTATTATAAAAAGAATATTCCTTATCAATTTAATTTGATTTATCGTGCTAGTAAAGATGGTAAAACAGCTAAAGCATTTCATAAAAAATGTGATAATAGAGGACCCACTATAGTTATAATAAAAATTAAGGGATCGGAACAAATTATTGGAGGATATAATCCATTTAGTTGGGATTCAAGTAAATCTTATAAATATACAACAGATAGTTTTATGTTCTCTTTTACAGATAGAAAGAATACGAAAACTGCAGAAGTAAGTTTTAGTAATGGTACATATTCTATAGGTTGCTATCCAACTCATGGACCAATATTTGGTGGTGATTTTTCTTGTAAAGATTGTGCTACTAATTGGAAATTTAATAATTATTTTCATTCATATCCTGACATTAATATTCCAACAGGAAGTATACAGGTAGATGATTATGAAGTTTTTCAAGTTAAAAAGCTAAAACAAAATTTAAATGATAAACGTAAACTCTTTAAAAAAAAAAGTTTCCTTAAATCTTTGTTTAAGAAATAGGTTTATTATTGTATTTTAATTTAGTATTTGTATAATAATTTTATGTGCTCACGTTAAAATTTTTAGAGTCAATTGCGTATGACGTATAGCCGATGATTTTATTACATAGAGTAGAAAATAGTAGAATGTTTATATACAGTAAATAGAACGATCCGTTTTTTATTCCTTCGTTTTATGTGTAATAATTGGTATGTAAATCTGATATTTTATTTGAAAATATATTGGAATTTTGAAGTAAAAATTTGTTAATAATCGAAAAAACAACTTATTTACCAAAATTTGTAATTTCAACGTATCAAAAATAAATTACTGATTTTATAGCGATATTTAAAAAGTTACGCAGTACGCAAATAAAGTGAATGCACGTAGGGACGCAAAGGATTTTTTATTATAGGTTTTCTTAACTTATTTTCGCGCTATTTTCGCACTATTTTCGCATTATTTTCGCACTTAAAATTTTATTTCTATTTCCTCGTATAAATAATGATCTATGGATTTTCTTATCCGGATCATCCTTTCAGATTAACTCCGGATCACGGGATGGGCGGTGAAGATGAAGAAATTCGTGCACATTTACATGTTTAATATATTAAAAGGTAATGACCACTAAAAAAGATGGAAACTTTATTCATAAAAATTCAAAGTACATTTTCAAGTGATTAAAAATTATTTTGGAATTTAATACAAGGTGTATTTAATTATTCCCTGATTTTTAGAACAAGACCCGGCATTTTTTTTTACCGATTACCGATCGAATACGATTAACCGATTAGGGAGACATCTTACAGTAATTAATACCGTTTTTTTTTTAATATTAATGAAATAATTATAATCCCCCTATAACTATTATTTGAATCGTTGGTCCCTCGTGTCACTCGATTTTTAATCTGCTAAGGGTCTTTTAGACGGTTTCAATCTCTTAACAATAATTATTCTAAGAAAAAACATATATTAAATTAATATTTTTTTTTTTTTTATAAAAAAATATTAATATGAATGTTTTACATTTCTGTTTTTCATTTTTAAAAAAAACTTATGAATTAAATTAGGAAATAAGCAATGATAATTAATAGGTTATACAATATTAATAACTCTGACTCAAAGAAATTTTTCCAAAAACGAAATTTATTGTTGAATACTATAAAAGGGCTTATTTGAACGCCCACGTTCCATAACTGTATGATCGACAATTAGAACCTCTAAATAAATATAAATTTGATCATTTTCAATGTAAATGTTTTAAAAGATTGGTACAGCATATGTTTATTTACTAAAAAAAAGGTTATTAATAACCAATATAAATAAGTAAATAATGATCAACAGCTAGACTTGATCATTTGATTAAAGATTGCCATGTGTTACATTTGTCACGTGCCTGGCCTTTTAACTTTATAACTTTATAGATTTATCAATGACTCAAATTGTTGCGTTAAAATGACATGTTATTTGTCATTCATGAAAATCTTCGTGTCATATTGACTCATATATGGTAAAAAATTCAAAGTCCGTGTGAAAAAAAAGAAATGATAATCATGTGATTGAAGTTATTTATATAACGGCCAAAAGATTTCAATTATTTACCATTATCATTTCGTTGATAAAAAAGATGTATTTTGAATATTGTCAAGAAGTTGCTACCGATTTTGAAAAAGTTCTCGAATCTGACGAGGAATATGATGTCATTATATACGCCGGCGAAAATATGAAAGCATTACATGCACATTTATTTGTTTTACGTACGAGGTCGCAATATTTTCGTACAGGGTTTTCTAAGAAATGGGCCGAGAAAAAGGATGGAAAATTTATATTTAAAAAACCAAATATTTCTTATGAAATATTTAAAATCATTTTAAGGTAATGAAATAGATAAATTATTATTTCGTCTTAATAAATTCTTAATTCTAACGTAAATTTTGATTGTTTTAGATTTATTTATTGTGGAAAGATAGATTTTACAAATTTACAAAGTTCCGAAGTATTTGAACTCCTGATGGCGGTAGATGAACTTAGTATTCAAACTTTAATCAATTGTATTCAAGAATACTTGATTAAATATAAAAAGGAATTTCTACAACAACAATGTTCTGTAGAAATTCTTGATACGTTCTATCAACACGATTCTTTTACGGATTTATGGAATTTTTCTCTCAGGAAGATTTGTGAAGAACCTGAAATCTTATTTAATTCTAATAAATTCATTAATTTAAGCGAACATTTATTAGAATTCCTTTTAAAGCAAGATGATTTAAATTTAGATGAAATTCTTATTTGGGATGGTTTAATAAAGTGGTGTTTAGCGCAACATTCTAATATTTCACATGATGTTAAGAAATGGGATAAGGATAATTTTACGACTATGGAGAGAACTATTCATAGGTTTATTCCTTTGATTAGATTTTATGGTATCTCTCCAGAGGATTTTAATTTGAAAGTATTTCCTTATAAAAAATTATTACCAGATAATTTGATTAACAATATATTTACATTACATAGTAGTAATGCTAAGGTAACAAATGAGAAACTAAATATATTTAACGTACAATCTCCTAGAAAATCAAAGGATATATACGATTCAACATTAATTAACCCTCAACATTTTGCTATTTTTTCTAGTTGGATTGAAAAGGAAAATGATTCTCATTATAATGCGAGAAATATTCCTTATAATTTTAATTTACTTTATCGTGCTAGTAGGGATGGTAATACGGCCGCAGATTTTCATAAAAAATGTGATAATAAAGGTGCTACTATAGTTATAGCAAAAGTTACAGATTCAGAACAAATAGTAGGAGTTTATAATCCACTTTTTTGGAACGAGAAGTGTAATACAAATAAATCTACAAGTGATAGTTTTATATTTACGCTTACAGATAGAACGAATCTTCAAACAGCGAAAGTAAGTTATAGTAATGGTGACCCAAATTCTATACAAAATTATTCAGTACATGGCCCAGTATTTGGAGCCACTGATTTATATGAAAATAATGGCAGTAATTGGTGTAGTAAGAGTGATTCAATTTCTTATCCAAAGATTGATGAAATGCCGATAGGGAAATTTTACGTGGATGATTATGAAGTATTTCAGGTTATTAAAAAGGCGTAAATTAAAGATATTATTATTTGATTAGTTTAAATCGTATTATGATACAATAGAAATATATCAGTAGCCAGGAAATCGAAAATCGAAAATAGAAAATACAGTCAAACTCGTTATACCGATACTAAAAACTCGATATTATACGAGAATATCGTTATAATTTTATTATAATTTTGGTATAATGATATTTCAAAGATTTTATACGGATCCCGACATATCGTTATATCAGTTTGACTGTAGCAAAACTATTAATTATATGATAAGCATTTCATTATGTAGAGAATTCATAATTTATGAGTTCATTTACAATTTATTATAAAAAAGTTTTCTTCACTTTATAAATTTATAAGATTTTGTATAAAAAAAACAATACGATAGTTTTTATATATTTTGTTTAGCATTATTTTATTTTGTACTATTTAACCAAAAATCTGTTGTCATTCATATTATATTTTAAAAAGAATTAAGGATATAACTGTATTGTACATTATAAACCTTATTACTTTATTATTTGAAAAAAATTCATTCTTGCGATTATTCTTTTTTTTTCTCTTGCGTATTGCGTTGATTTCCATTGTGATTATTAATAAAACGTGTTTCGTAATTTATTGAGACAATCAAATGAAAAATTGTCAATATTTTGATTAAATGTTACTGAAAATACGATCAGAACAGTAAAGGTAATACGGTACAGGAATAAAAATGAATTAAATCGAAAAGAATGAACTAATGCATAATGATATAAAGTTCCATTTTACCTTTTATTAATGTTTCTTTCGTCGTCCATGTTGAATGTTCGACTGTACAAATTGTATTAAGGGAAAAAGGAACAATAAATAGATCCTTTATTTGTTTGCTATGTTTTTCTGGAGGCCATTATGAAAATAGCGGAACATATGATAAATAATTGGTATTTTTTTTTAATGTGCGTATATACGAAAGGCGCGACTTGATACAGTCAGTATGTTAGTTGCTACTTTTTTTAAAAAAATGTACTAAATATATATTTCTATTTCAATAATAATTATACAGATATTATTAAATAAGCAATTCTGTAGTAGGCAATCATATCAGATTCATTTTGAACTTGAAACAAATCAATTTTTAGTTTGCTGAAATGTAATATAGTAACGTAAATGTGAAATATTTGTAAAAGTCACGAAATTATCTTAAACTTTGTCTTAGTAGATCAGAATTTGAACCTGTCAAAGCATATGTTATTGTATGCTTTCCACCTGTAGGTTAAAAGTTAGAGTTGGAAACAGAAAAGAAGGTGATGAAGATAGATTGAGCAAGTTCTGACGAAGAATTATTTCTTTGATAAGTATTATCAACAAACTTTTATGAAATGATCCATTCGAAATCTGGAAGTTATTATAAGACGAGGTCGCTTAAATTCAAGTGAAATAGAAATTTGGGTAAAGTTGAAGGAAATATTATCCTTAATGAAGATGCTTTAATTAGAGTCACGAAGAAACATGGATTTTTTTAAAAAAAGCCTTTTATAAATTTATACAATTTGTGAAATTCTTTTCAGATTATCATCCGAAAAATTGTGGGAGAAAATTTTAACAGATAAAATCCTTATTCGTCAGTCGTCACGTACTCAATTTCTTTGATGCTAGCATGACGTCATTATTCGCATTTTATGTGAAGTTGCGGTAATACTATTAGCTCTACACAATCTCTTCAGGGCCAGCATATCGTAATGTTGCCTGGCACTATCCAAAAAAGGGAGGATGGATCAAATTGATGTATAAAACTGATTGACACGATTCTAATATAGTGATCATATAAAAAAAAAAATTTTTAATATAACAAGATTACCCAACTACTCAATCGACACCAACACATTCACCAACAAATTCAACTTCACGACGAAGACAATTCCATGTTCGTTGTTGCCGTAGATTTGTACGTCACAAATCATCTTCAAAAATGAGTAATAATTTCAATAATACAACCGATAATAATGTCGATGATGAAGAAGATATTATCCTTAAAAGACTTAATAGTAAAATATCTGTTATGATAGCCGAAGCTGAAGCTGCTTTAAATAGTAAGGTTGAAGTTACAGAACTTGAAATGATACTTGCCGAGGAAAAAGAACGTGATGAGCGAATTATGAAAGAATTTGGAATTCAAACTCTTAATGTTCACAATTACAATTACAATAATTATAATATCAATTATAATAACAATCACAATTAATTACTTTTACTCAATTCTTTTAAAAATTTATTCAAAATTTCTTTTTTTGATTGTAAAATAATTTTGTACAGTCGGATAACAAAACTTTATTAAGTAAAACACTAAAACCATCAAAAAATATAGTTATGGAGAAGTTCATAGCAAGTTTCGAGGTTTTTAACGGAAATATACAAGATAAAATCGCCGAAGACATTCAAAACTGTGCCAGTAGACCAAATAAATAACGCTATTTCAGAAATAGACAAACGAATAGTACAACCACCTCAAGAAATATATTTAGTATTTTTTTTTATTAGACTGGAATGCTAGTATAATACGAAAAAACTTTAGTGAGTTTCTTAAAAAATTTCCTCTCCCCAGCGAGCGCAGCAACAACTCACAGTCATGTGAGCAGGGTTAGAAGATAACAAAATTGGAATCTTTGGTGACCACACAGACAGATACGATTAATAACGAAGAATAAAGATACAATTAGGAATTTAGAATATGAGGTAACCACCAAGAAACGAACAATAAAGGAACACGAAGAAAAAATTACAAATTTAGAAAATCATATTCGGGGGGTTAGAAGTTGATGTAACAGATAAAGGACGAATAAAATTAGAGAAAGAAGTAGTTAGAATTCTTCGGAAAAGTCAAGGATCTAGGGAAGAAAAAGGAACAAGACACGAGTTTATCTCACAAAAATGTCAAGGATAACTTGGGCCAAACAAAGAAAAATTCTTTGCGCATGGAGGCATAAAAGTCGGAAAAAATTCAGATACACAAAATTACCCAAATGGAAAGTAAATAGTTATTCTGATAAATCAAGTGATATGACATTGTATGGTATCAGGTATTGGTCGGACGATGATATCTATGAATGTATAAGAGATGTACTGTAGGTTATGTGGAAAAAATTACTGTCAAACGATGTTATAAATATAAGATGGTCAAAGTTAAGATGCGCTTTACCAAAGAGTACGAAAATACGTATAAAAAGCGAGGTGGAGCTAATATCACAATTATAAGGAACGGTCGTCAATATTTCTTTAGAATGTTCGACCCTGATTTAGGTCCACAAGAATTAAGAAATAGATACGGATGGCAAACATGTAAAAAAATTTCAATTGAAAGTAATGCAACAGACGGTGAAATTATTAACGAAATATGGAGGATTTTTCGGAAATTAACAAAATTAGATATATCTTAATATACTTTAACAACGAAAATGAAATGATGAACGCGATTTACAAATCGGGAATGGAAGATGACATGTGTATATTATTTTTTGCAACGCAAATTAATAAATCCGCAGTATTATATTTATTGAATATTTTGACACCAAAAATATTAAAATATTATGTGTAACTGTTTACTAAAAGATGGTAATTGTAAAAGGGCTAGTATAGCGTCTAATACTTCCTCTTTTATTAAAGTTAAAGAAACTTCCGATATAACTTTTTTCTATCCCTACACATTTAAATCCTTCTATAAATTTACTAAATATTTCATTAACTCCATCAAATCCTATAAGTCTACAACTTTATAATCTTAATCCTTATTCTCCTTTTTTTTATCTGTTGTTTTCCTTTTTATTACCCTCTTTTTAATAATAAAGTACAATTTCACTTACAAATGTAAATTTCAATAAATTTCCTTTAGAGAGGAATTAATTGTTTACAAAATAATAATAATAAAAATTTTTTTATGTTACAAAACTTAACTTTATTTTAAGTATTGATTTTCGTTATTGATTGATATACAAAATACTAACAAAATATGACAATAAACATTATTAAGCAATTAAGTAATTTAATTTCTAGAAAAATTATTAAAAAAAAAATTACATATGATAAACTATCATATGCAAGAGAAATATTTGCGATAATATTTGATAGTTTTTTTTTTTATTTGTAACCTTATTTTTCGTAATTGTAGATCCAATCCCATTTTCACAATCAATAAATAACTCCGATATGGTAAAATTCTTATTTTCTTGTATACTAATTTTAGAATCCACCAATTTCAATCGGGGAAAGATATTGAAATTTATCCGATTAGAATTGTTTAAACTGTTATTTTTATGGGTCGTAAAAAAAAATTTTCCATTGATTTTAATTTATAATTATTTACCCTCTTAAAAGCGTAAATTACATAATAAGAATGTAATAACATACTGTTTAGACTTATAATCTTTATCGTTTTTTTCTGTAATCTTTTTTTTCGTTTTTCATATTTTTCCATGGAGATTCGAGGTGTGACAATCACCACGGGCGATAACATATGTATTTAAAATTAAAATTGCCATTTAAGTTCAATAAATTGGTAAAAAGGCATAAACATTTTGTTATTTTATTTTATTTTTTTTGCCTTTTTCTTACTAAACTGTTATTACGTCATATATGTCATATTATTCATTGTATTTATTAGTTCTCATTGATTGATATTACGAATCTTGCCAATATTAGATCACACGACATTTATTGTATGTGCAACGTAAGAAAAGGACATAAAGTTTGCTTATTAGATCATGGATTGTTTACAAATTAATTTATCATCAATTCGCAATTAAGGTATTTAAACGAAGATATTTTAAATCACATGACTTTTGTTAGGTGTGTAACGTAGATTTTTTACTAGCCCTAAAAAATTGCTTGACCCTCCTAATATTATTAAATTAATGTATTATCACTACATGTCCTTTGGATTTTGTGTAATAATTAGGATGTAACGATTACATAATTGGCATACGTCCTAAATTCAGTCACGTGTTTGTAAAATATTGTTCACCTCCCACCACTTTATAAGTATTTTGATTAGTAAAATTTTTGTCACGCCCATGAATCCGAACATAACATTCATATTATCATGTGACTTTGGCCCAATAAGATCTCCAATTTTTTTTTTTTTTTCTAAACCTTTTTAATAATTTTGATTGGTAGTACTAAAGAATTTAATTACGTCACAAAAACCACCATTATCGTTAAATTTAAAATTATAAACCGATCAAAAACTCTCTCTTTTAAATAATAATAAATAAATGATTTTGAGTCGTAGTTGAAAAAGAAAATATATTTGAATTATTTACAAGAAAAGTATTTAGGCCATTATGAAAAAGTTCATAGGACAAGAACTTTTATCAAATATTATATTAAAATAAGTAATTATTTATCAAAATAATATGTCAAGAAATTTTAACGATACATTATTTATTATTTGGATGCTAATCATTTCTTTCACAATCAAAAAATTATTATTCGATATGACAATATTTAAAACAAAAAAAAATTGTAGTGATCTTCACATTTTAATGTAAAAGATAATGATTTACACAATCGATATTATTATTATGAAAAAATATTTGTAACATATAAATTATTTTCGATATTTACAATGATGATAGTATTATAGACAATGCAGATAAATTTTTTAAATAACTCGGCTAAGGCTTAAGATTATCCGATATAGAGGCCTGCAATTGGTCGCTCGGGCCCGGATATCCGGGGCGACATATATATTTATATCAATTCCAGCCCATATACAAATAATACAATATATTAAATATTTATTATCCTGACCGACTCGGCCGTATTTCAGGCCTTCTCTTTCTTTTTTTAATAATTTATAATTATTTTCTAATTCAATAATGCATGCAAGATATAAATAATAAAACTATTGTATGTTTCATATTCATTGTTATAAAGTAATTTACATAAACAAACAAAAAAAAAGTTATTATTCAAAATTAATTCACAAAGGCGTACAAGTAACATATATATGTACATACGTATATATATATATATATATACACATATATATATAGATCGTAAATTACTCAAAATTCTTAATTCCATTGTTGAATGAAATTTTGTATGGTAAAAATATAAAATAAAAGGTTTTATAATCTTAGAATAGAAATGATTTGCTAAAGAAAGAAATTGGCGCAATTTTACAAACGCTGATCCTTAATCGTGGAAACTTACTACGAAATAGAATATAAATTGTTTAAAAGTCCTATTCTGAAATTTTTCATGCTTTTTTTTTTATCAAATTCAAAAATTTTTTTTATTATTAATCCAATATTATTGATTGAATTCGTAATTAATTTTCATTATGTCTAATATTCGATATGAATTGATTTATGAATTGTGTTTGAAAGCACATATGTCATTTGATTATAATATTTACAATGATATACACAAACGAAATAAATTTCATGAACAATTATTTTTATCTAATAAATCTCTTACAGATGATGAAAAAACTAAATTAATAAAAATATTATGTCAATTTTATGATCGAAATAATATTATTTATAATTCAGGAACAAAAAGAGTTTGTGAAAATTGTAATCAAGAATGTTTAGCTACATCATTTTGTGAATATTGTGTTCGAAATTATTTAAAAGAAAATTTTTTAAATTGGACATCTGGAAATGATGATATTGATAATTTAATACAAAAATGTCAAATGGAAACTTTCATGCCGAATAAAGTAATTGAATGGATTCCATATAATAATTTTAAAAACATTAATTATCTTACAAAAGGTGGATTCTCCGAAATTTACACTGCAGATTGGATTGATGGATATTATGAAGAATGGGATTTTAAAAATCAACAATTAGTAAGAAATGGAACTCAAGAAGTTATACTTAAGAGATTAGATGATGCTGAAAGTATAAATCGAACTTGGTTTGAAGAGGTTTGTTATCTAATTTCATTTAAAATTAAATACATTTTTATAATAAAAGTTTTAAATTTTTATAGGCTAAATCCCATTTAACTATAGGCAATAAATGGGTAGATATTGTCCGTTGTTTTGGTTTGACAAAAGATCCATTAAATGGAAATTACATGCTTGTAATGAGAAAAATGGATATGGATTTAAGAAAATATTTACAACAAAAACATAATCAACTTACATGGAAAGAAAGGATTAAGATTATTTCTGAAATAACCAATGCACTTTATAGAATCGTTAAAGAAAATGCAATTCACAGAGATTTACATTCAGGAAATATTTTGTATTTACGATACCTTGATTATTGGCTTATTGGTGATCTTGGATTTTGTGGACCTGCTGATAAATCATCAAAGTCTATATATGGAAATCTTCCTTATATAGCACCTGAAATAATTGCTGGAAGTGAATACACTTTTGCATCTGATATATATAGTATTGCAATGCTTATGTGGGAAGTCTCATCTGGGCAACCACCATTTATAAATTATGAACATGATTATAGTCTAGCAATGAGGATTATTAACGGCATGAGACCAAAAATTGTGCCAGAAACTCCTTTAGAATATAAACTATTAATGAAACAATGTTGGAATGCTGATCCATTAAAAAGACCTAATATAAAAACGTATAGGAAGCAGATAAGAGAAATTCATTTATCATATCAAAATATGGAAAATGAATTATTAAAACCAAAAGTATATAAACCTAATGGTTTAGAAACAAATTCTACAAATAGCAGATTGTTTTCAAGTAATATTTATAAATTTGAAAATTTACCCGAACCAAAGAATGCGACAGAAGGTATAGTTGCTTACTATCTATTATAAATTTTTTTTTTAATATGCAGTATATTATGCAGTATATTAATATCTTTGTTTTAATTTAATTTAATAAAAGAAGAGCAAGAAGGTATGTAATGGTATTTTTTATTTGATTGTTAAATATTATTGATATAACTTTTAAAACAATATTATATTAATAGTATTCTACAGTAAATCATATGGTTTTAAGATTCCTGATAATAGTAAGTAATTATTAATATTTTAAAAATTGTACAATAAAATGTATAATGACCGACTTACGCTTGCTTTCTTGTTTTAGTTAATGAATTTAATAAGTCAGATATTCAGAATGTGGATATTTCTATTAAAGGTAATTAATTCTATTTATTAATTAAATTAATACAAACATTAATGATTAATTTATATGTTGATTTTAGTTAATAGTAAAAAATTGTCCAACAAAATATTTGAAATGTCACAAGTAAATCTAAATTATGGTAAATATAATTTTATATCATTTAAAGAAATTTACAAGTAACAATGAACTTTATTAAAATATTCAATGATTTTTTTTTTATTTGAAATAAAAGATATTCGAGATTATTATAAAAAAGAAGCAATACAACAAATACAACAAATAAAAAGAGCGAATATTAATATTAATGGTATGTGAAAATATTTTATCAAAATTTTTATTTAAAATTTGTATTATTTTATAATTTAACAAATATATTTTATAGATGAGAATGAAATATATAATAATCCAAACCTTCATTCAAAAGAACAAAATATATTGGAAATTCCTGATGGTTAGTATTTTTTTTAAAATACTGTTTCTAAAGTAATAATTAAACTTATTATTAATTTGTATTTTATTCATTTTTTTCAGAATTATTTTAAATTGTATTATAGATTGACTTTTTTTTAGTTTTTATTAATTATTTATAGAATTATTATTAGTCATTAGTATGTTTATGAATTTTTAGTTTGTAGCTCTCCTTTAGGTCAGGTACAATTTTAACACGCAAATTTGTAAGAATCTATTACGTTCAGTTAACCGGATTCTGGAATTCCGATAAAAGAACTGCGGCAATTATCACGAGTCTGCTTTTTTTTTCCTGGATTTTTGGCTGGATCTGGTTATTCAATGACTGATTAAAGATAAATGTTAATCCTATCTTTTAAAAACCACTTTTCGAACATCTCATAATAAATGTATTTTCTTCTATAATCATATTGGATCACTGACTATTAACCACATAAACATCAAAACAAACTACATACTGAAAATAAATATTGAACTGGTCCACTAATCTAATAGTAAAATTTGACCTTACAGTTTACACCATCAAGGATTTCCATATCAAGTTATCCCAGTCTAAAAATACGTCTTTTTATAAGAAATGATTTTCATCAAAATAAATTCTAAGTTCATTTTGAAATCATCCATTTCCACTTTTGATGAGTTTACTTTTAGTAAACCTTTTTTCTCTACACTATTAGCAACTGTCAATTTGATCTTCGAACCTACTTCTTATTATAGTTTTATCTCAATCCTAGTTCCCGTTCCTATATCTAAAAATAAAAGTGAACACAAGAATCATTATTACGGATGTTACACTTGTAACATTACACTTATACGCTAAAACTAAATATAATACTGCGCCCCACAATTAACAATTCTACTAAGTAAGTCGCGGCATTACAATACTTAGTAGAATTTGTACGATATTTGGTGCGTAGTGATTAGTAAGACCGTAGATCATCATTACCTATCAATTTTTGCTACAAAAACTTTCGTTCAGCCTATTTTTTTTTTCTTGCCGTAATTTTTCTTAGCTCTTAATTTATAAAACTTCCTTCCTTCTAAAGCTTGCTTAAAAAAAAAAATTCAATGTCTGTTATTCGAGAAGAAATTGTTCGTGCAGCAGTTAATAGATTAGGTGCACTAATAGATTATAATGTCCATAATGATATACACAAACGGCATGAATTTCTAAAACAAATAGTTCTTGCTGATAATTCTCTTACTAAAGATGAAAAAACTTATGGAATAAAGCGGTTAATTAGAGGTTATGATCGAGATAAAATTTTTTATAATTCAGGATCAAAAAGGACTTGTGAAAATTGTAAACAAGAATGTTTAGCTACATTATATTGTGAATTTTGTGTTCGAAATTATTTAAAAGCAAAATTTTCAAATTGGACATCTGGAAATGTTAGTATTGATAACTTAATCCAGAAATGTCAAATGGAAACACTTAAACCAAATGTGATAATTGAATGGGTTCCATATAATAATTTAGAAAATATTAGGTATCTAACGAAAGGTGGTTTCTCTGAAATTTATACAGCAGATTGGATTGATGGAAGGTATGAAGAATGGGATTCTAAAAAACAACAATTAAAAAGATTTGGAAGACTAAAAGTGATACTTAAAGGATTAGAAAATGTCGAAAGTGCAAATAAAAGTTGGTTTGAAGAGGTTTGTAATCTAAATAATGTATTTGTAATTACTGTAAGAGTCTACTAGTGTTCCAAAGGGGTCAAGTCAGGTCAGGTTTTAGGTGTATTCGACGAGTGTAAAAGTAATGACTCAGATTCGACTTAACCTGATTATAGTCTGACTCGGATAACCCGGGTTCGACCCGTTAAGTTGTATTTAATATAAAAAAATTAAATTTTTAGTTAAGGGTCACCAGGTCAAAGTAAAGGTATAACCCGACCCGATTGGTTGGGTTGAGTTCATACGGGGTTACGGGTCATCAAATCATGCGACCCCAACCCGACCCTAAATACGAGTCGGGTCAATAACCGACCCTTTTGGAACACTAAGTCTGTAACCAGTTTTATATTATTAACAAGTCTTTAAATTTATATAGGCTAAATCATAGGCAATAGATATTCTACTATTGTCAAATGCTTTGGTTTAACACAAAACATATCAAATGGAAATTATATGCTTGTAATGCGTATTATGGATTTAAATTTAAGAGAATATTTACAACAAAATTACAATAAACTTACATGGAAAGTAAAAATCAATATTACTTTTGAAATAGCGAGGGCACTTTATTTTATTCATAAGGAAAATGCAATTCATAGAGATTTACATTCAGGGAACATATTGTTTTCAGAATTTAGTAATCGTTGGTATATTAGTGATCTTGGATTTTGTGGCCCTGCTGATAAATCATCAACATGTATATATGGAAATCTTCCTTACATAGCACCAGAAGTTATTAATGGAAAAGAATATACTTTTAAATCTGATATATATAGTATTGCAATGCTTATGTGGGAAATTTCATCTGGACAACCACCATTTATTAATCGTGAGCATGATTATAATCTTGCAATAAATATTATTAATGGTATTAGACCAAAAATTATACTAGGAACTCCTGTAGAATATAAAAATTTAATGAAAGAATGTTGGGATGCTGATCCATCAAAAAGACCTGATCATAATACGCTTTTTTATAAGATACAAAAAACGAATTTATATTATCAAAATATGACGGATGAATCATTTCAATCAGAAATAGATAGGAATTTAGAACTAGATAAAACAAATAATAGTACGAACAGTATATTACTTACAAATAAAATTCATCAATTTGAAAATCTACCAGAACCAAGAAATGCAACAGGAGGTAATATTTTTAACAAACATTATTTCTATTATTTACTTGTTAATATTAATAAGTATGGAATTAGAAGGTAATATAAATACAACTTTTCATTTAAATTATTTTATAATATTGCATTACTTACATAATAAATTAAACAGTAAATAATTTGACATTTATTTTAAACAGAATTTCATAGTAAAAAATCATACGATTTTATTAATATTCCAAATAATAGTAAGTATTTTTCAAATTATATTTGTAGTTAGATATTTATTGATTTTAACTTTTCTCTAGTTGATGATTTTAGTAAATCAAGCAATAGGAACGATGGTATGTCATCAAATATGAATAATAAAGGTTAGTAAATTTATTTATGTATTTATATAACAGTTTTCTTATAGAGAATAATTGGGTAAATTAATAATAATTTAAATTTTAGCTAATAGTAAAAAATTATCTAAAATGTTTGAAAAGCTACAAATAAGGAATAGTAAGTAGATTAACTAGTATTATTCATTAATACATACAATTATTAATTGTAATTTTAATTAAAAAACAACGCAACAAACAAAAGAGTCTAATATCGTTAGTGGTAAGTAAAATGTCAAATATATTTATTTATACTATCGTTTTTTTTGTATTTATTCAGTTTATTTATTTTGATAATTAAGACGAAATTGAAATATATAATAACCCAAATCTTCATTCCGAAGAACAAAATGAATTGGAAATTTCTGATGGTAAATTACAAATAAAATGTGATAATGTTTACTTCAATTGCTAATTTTTTTTATTAAATTATTACAAATATGTAATCTTGTATCTAAATTATTTAAACACTAAGACTAGAGTAGTAAGGTTTCTTAGTTTGTAATTTAAATATTAAATTTATTATTTTCATATCTATATAAACTATATAATTAAAATTTGTCATGCTTAGATTACAAATAATTTGAATTGTGTAACGTCGTTCATATTTGTCATGTCGGTTAATAATTTTTAACTGGTTTTTGATATTGTATTTCAGTTGCCGCAATATATTTTTATTTTTTTTCCATTATTATTTTTATTTTTACCAAAATTTTTTTTTTGCCTTTTAGGTTTGGATCGATGATCAAGATCGAAATAAATATAATTTATGTAATTTGTGTGATTTTATTTATAAATTATTTTTTATTTAAATAAAATAAAATAATTTTTTATTTAAACTAAAAATTAATAAAATTTTTAATTAGACAAATAATTTGTTTCAAATAATTAACATAATATAATTAAGGATGATCCGCCAAGAGATTTGTGTTACCTTAACAAATATGATTTTATATATGTACATCATTTTTAGTGTAATAACAATTTCCTTTTCCAAAAAAAATCACCTTTTTTAGAAATTTGTGTGACCTAAATGACCGTTCATTATTATTATATTGTATTATATTCAATATTTATTTTTTAGAGGAATATTTTCATCATCATTGTCGAAACCCATATGTTATTTATCTATTTCTTCACATAATGTATTTTTTATTCGACATAATTCTTTAAAGAGAAATTCATTTAAAGAAGGTTTTAAATTATTGGGAAATCAATTTCAAGAACTTAACAAAGTATTAGAATTACATTTACATTTCCAACTCCATCCACATTTATATATACCTCCTGATATTCATCATCATGAATATATGTGTTTATATAAATTTAATATTATAGATAATTATATTGATTTATCAATTGACAAACCTCACTTATATTATATCAAAAAAAAATTAGAAACTTATGTTGAACGAGAATTCCATTGTTATACAGATGGTTCAGTTAAAGATTTAGGTAAACCTTCTGTAAGTTTAGTTTATGGAACAACATTTTACACACCACAAAAACAATTTATAGATCAATTTTATTCAAGTGGAGAAAATAATATTTCGGTAGTAAAGTCTGAATTATTACCACTTTTAATCAGCCTAATAGTAATGCCGAAACAATAAACAGTTCATATTTTTACAGATAATGATCAAAATTTTTCAACATTCCATAAATTACAGTCAAAAAATTTTAAAATAACACCAAGACAATATTTTAAAATGATAAATAATGGAATCCTTTGGCAAATAATAATGGAAATAATAGAAATTTTATCTTTAAATATAACCTTATTTAAAGTACAAGCACATGCCGAAGATATATATAATAATTTTGTTGATCAACAGGTAGCACGTATTCATGATGAGGTAGATCTACATAGTATTAACATAAGAAACCAACCACTTCAGTTAATACGATATATCCCTAGTTGGAATAATGTTATTATTGAAAAACCATTAAGAAAATTTTTAAGATTAACAACAAATGTCACCAATTTAGAAAAATTCCTAAATCTTAATAGGAATGCGAAATACCGACAACTGGATATAGATATTAAAAATACTTTTTCTCTTTTAAAAGGAGAAGAAGGATCTTTATATACTACATTTGCTGAAAATAAAATAAGACGAAGGAAAATACAGTTAATGATAGAAGAACTTCCCTGTATTCACCAAATCCAAAAAAGTCTGAACAG